TTGAGCAATGCAAGACGGTATATTCCTGAGGTACAGTGCAGGGAGCTGCGGGGATTTGGCTCTGGTGCCTTTCTCTGTGTGATTCATGAGTGGCTCTTTGAGCATTCATGCAATCTAGCTGGGTGTGGGGCTCCAGATGCTGTTGTGCTGAGTGATCACAGAACCTGGAGGGGCTTGCTGCTGGTCACTCTTGCTGCTGGTCACTAGCAAGGCATTGTGAAGGACAGCCCAGGCTGGAGAGAGTTAAGGGGACACAGCAGTCCCACAGTCCCAGGCTGCATCCCGGGGGGGGGGGGATCCCGTCACAATGTCTACACTGGAATAAAACACCTGCAGCAGGGCTGCAGTTGGCCCAGGTCAGCTGACTTGTGTTCATGGGGCTCAGGCAGCGGGGCTTAAAATTGCTGTGTAGACCCACTTAGCAGGGTCCCAGAGCTTGGGCTCCAGCCCCAGCCCAAATGTTTACACTGAAATTTTACAGCCCCATTGCCCGAGCCAGTGGACCCAAGCCTAGGGTGACCAGATGTCCTGGTTTTATAGGGACAGTCCCGATATTTGGGGCTTTGTCTTACAAAGACACCTCTTACCCCCCACTCCCATTCCGATTTTTCACATTTGCTGTCTGGTCACCCTACCCAAGCCAGCGGCAGGTGTTTAATTGCAGTGTAGATGTACCAGTTATATAGAAGTTCAGACTAGATGATCTTATGGTCCTGTCTGGCCTTAAACTGTATGAAATTGTGATAACACATAATATAGACAGATATGATACTCTGGATGACTGTCCAAATACAAGAAATCATAGAGGCATGATTGATGAAGATATTGGCCTCCAAAAGCTTGGAAAATAGAATTGTCTTCATGGTAGCCAGGGTGTACCAAGCATAGGGGGACAGCATGAAAAATGCATGAATCAGAGTGTGGAAGCAGGAAGAAAGCGAGATGAAAGTAAGCAAGAATGTAGGAAGTGAGAGACTATGTAGGAAAGAAGAGCGAGAGCAAGGAAAGCATGGTGGAGTGGTGGTGGGAAGAGGTAGAGGACCATGAAGAGGAAGGAGCTTGAATTAACACAGTGGAGGGGAAACAAGAGAAAGGGTTCAAGTTTTGTAACAAAGTCCATTTCTATATGTTTTCCTCTTTCAGGACTCAAATGGATGCTCTGCGTAGTTAATGCTTTAATTTCCTCTGAGAAAGTGGTGACTAATAAGTACCCTCAAATAGGACTGTGATCCCCCCAACATCAGTCATCCGTTTGTAGCCTTACACTCTTGCAGTGCTTTGGCTGAGCAAATTAGCCTGAAGTGTTGTGCCCTTGGCTGGCAAATCCTTTCAATCCAGTTGAATGGACAAAATGAATACCCAGATTGTTCCGATGTCTGTTATTCTCTTGTGTGTATCTGGTTGAGCTGTCAGTCAGGCCATTATAACTGTGGTGCACACTCAAATGCCTTGTCCACTCACAAAAGCCGAGTCTATTGAGGATAAGCTAAACAAAACTGGAGAAAGACTCTTGACAGAGTTATGGGATCTGGAAAATGGCTCAGGTAAAAGCAGAAATAGGTTTCTGAGTGCTACAGATGTTTCTAATAATGTGTATAGTTTAAATGTGTGATGCCCTGTTATTGTATTTCTCTAGACAGTAAATAAGTGTTTGTAGAAAATTAGATTTGCATAGATCTTCAAACATTCAGATACAGAAGGATTTTGTAACTTAAATGTAAGTGTTCAGAGCATTTACCAGAGGGAAAATTGTTTCGTGTAATTATCAGGAAAAAACACACCGTTTACCAACATAGTTTTACCATGGTACATTGCTACAATGGTCTGTCACGTATGGTAATCCTGCCTGCAGCCGTGACCTATGCCAAGTCTTTCAGAAGGATAGTGGAGTGTGTGGGGGGGACCCATAATCCATCTGGCCAATTGTGCAATGCTATTCATGGGCAAGGGAAAATTACTTCCTTTCCCCCAGGTTGAAGAGTTGATTTCCTGAAACATGACATTTAATTACCACCACTTTATCATATGAAGCTATAAATGTTGGACCTACTTACGATCACTTCTTTCAAGCCAACGAGTCTACCTACATAAGTAAGGTGATCACATCTTGGCTGTTGATATTAGTCATAAACCAGTTGTAAGTCCAGCTACTGTATTTGGCCCTGTGAGCACTTGGAGTGGTGAATTCCCCACACTGGCTACATGCTAGATGAAGATGTATTTCTTAGAAATGTAATTTTTTCTCCGGTACACTGAATTAGCAGTGTGACTCTTAGCAGTTTTTGAAACTAATTTGATGGAAAGGCATTAAAACCTGTCATCTGGATATGAAATATAACTTAAGTCCTTTTCATTCTTTAGCCTCGTCCTTGTATTCATAATTAACAAACTTACCAGGGATTCAGTTTACAGATCTCAGTCCTGCCAGGCACAAGGATGTACCACTTGTCTGAGCAATGAGGAACAACATAGCAGTATGTCCTCCCTTCCCAAAGAAAACCATTCAATACTTGTCTGTTCAAGAGTTTTCTCTACACACACACTATCTTAGTTTCTGCAACAAGGAGGGAAAAGTGGGTTGCAGGACTGAGATAGCTGCAATGAGACGGCTATAGCTGCAGCTCCTCGTCAGTCTAACCAAGATGCAGAAGGAAGTTTAAATAATAAATTGTAAAGCTTCATGTCTAGTTGAGGATTTATGAAGGATACACAATCTGTGCAGAAGTTGCTGAGAAAACATACCATAATGCAGCAACATCTCTCTTGTCAAAGCATCTGTGTCTTCAAAATCCAATCCCAGTCGCCTTGTTGGCTGTGATGATAGCTGTAATGGACGTTACAGCAATTTTTCATCAAATGCTAATTTATAAGATCCCTAATATACCAATGCATTCATCTGGCAGGGATTTCAGCAAACTAGACTTGCAGAGGAGTACTCATTGAAAGTCATGGTAACTTGCAGGTTGCTGATTTCTCATCTGCACTCAGAAGATAATTTGCAAATGTGCCATTTATCATTATGTACTTTGTAGAAGCAGTTCCCCTGAATTGGACAAATTGATAAGAGTCTAATAAAGAAAGTTTTCCCCCAAATCCATAATTCTGGGTGTCTGTGAGCGTGTGTTCGTGTGTATATACAAACACACACACATATACATCAGGGCTATCAAGAGATTAAAAAAATTAATCGCGATTAATCGCGTGATTAAAACTGTTAATTGCGATTAATCTTGTGATTAATTGCACTGTTAAACAATAAGAGAATACCATTTATTTAAATATTTTGGGTGTTTTCTACATTTTCAAATATATTTGAAATGCAGTTTTTTGTAAATAATTCTACATTTGTAAATTCAACTTCCGTGATAAAGAGATTGCATTACGGTGTTTGTATGAGATGAATTGAAAAATACTATTTCTATTGTTTTTACAGCAAAAATATTTGTAATAAATATAAATTGAGCACTGTAATCTTTGTATTCTGTGTTGTAATTTAATCAATAGATTTGAAAATGTAGAAAAACATCAAAAAATGTTTAATAAATTTCAGTTGGTATTCTATTGGTTAACAGTGTGATTAAAACTGTGATTAATCGCTATTACTTTTTTTTATCGCGATTAATTTTTTGAGTTAATCACGTGAATTAACTGTGATTAATTGACAGCCCTAATCTAGAGACAGGAAGTAGAAAGTTTCCAGGGCTGCTGTTAAGATCATTGATTTCTGTGTCAAGGGACAGTAGGTTGAGATTGTCTGTCAGAAGATATGAAGATGTGTATTTTGAACAAATCAAAGTAGAACGTGCTACACATGTGTGGCAGCATATGCCACCAGGGAAAGGGACCAGTCGGCTGGCTCTTCCCTCCTGTCTTCTGGAAACATTAAGATTTCTGGGAAGCCAGGAAAGCCACCTAAAGTCATTTCCCTGGAGATGATAGAATTTGACTTGGCGGTAAGTTCGCATCTCTCAGACCACAAGACTGTGAAGGGTCTATGGCAGAATTTTCCCAGACGAGGAAACTCGAGACAGCAGGATCCCTTGATCTTATGATTCCTCCTAACATGCGTTGCTGTCTTCTACTGAATTTGACTATCCTTTTTGGTATTTATAACTGAATTTTACTGGAAATAATCTTAAAGTAACAGTACAAATGAGATCAGCCTGAAACCTTAGTTTCTTTTTTCTCTTCCAACATTCAGCGTGTAAGGTCCTTGAGACTTCTTTTGCAGATTTTATTTGTTATTTACATAAAAGCTGTAAGGAGTCCATTTGTCAAATCACCATATGTATCTAGCATTGCTGTGAGCATAACAAAGGCTGTGTTGTACCGTTGCCCAGCAGAGCCAAGAAACCATGCAAAGTTATTGATAATTGATTCAATTTTATATAGGTTAAAAACTAGCTTTTCCCTCCTAGTGTGAAGGTAATGGGTTTTGTCTGTAGAAAGAAAATAATCCTATGAACCACTTCTACGCTCTCTATTAGAGAATAGTACAGCTTGCACTTGAACATAATGCCCATGTCAACTCAGCTTTTTAAACACTCATCTTAAAAAAAGTCTTCAAGGACTAGGAAGGTTTTCCTGAGACTTCAAGTTAAGTTGGAGGAAATGAAAAAGTCCCGAAGATACTGTCAATTAAAGTGTTTATCCTGATATACCTACCCTGGAAAAAGCATCTTCAAACATGAAAGCTGTTTTCTTGCCATTAAAAAGTTTTCATTGCATTTGGTTTCCATAGAGACTAACATAGCAGGGTTTTTTCCCCACCGCATTAAGGAATGAACATTTGGTGTGCTTTATTTCCCAACAATGTTCTTCAAAAGACTCTTCATTTATTAAAAAGAATAAAAAAAAGAGAACTAAATTGAAACCTTGCAACAATATCTGTATGCGGGAGACGACTTGATTTACAAGCTTAGGTAATTTCATTTTTGTTCACACTCCTCCAATTGAAAGGCTTCCCCAAACAGTATTACAGCAATGAAGAAAGAGATGGGGAATTTATCAAGCCATTTATCAAATTATTTTCACAGTCTATCAAATTTACAAATACACTAAAGAGGAAACACAAAGGGTATGTTCAAACAGGAAAGTGTAGCAGAGTGAGCAGCAAGTCTGCAGGGTACCGTCCTACCACAACCACAGAGCAATGAGACTGCCAAGGCTGCAGGCTCTTAAGCAAACCCATTTCACCAATTTGAATGGGCTGATGTAACGACTATCTATAAACTAAATCCTGAGCACTGTAGACATTGGATAATTACTTGATGAAGCAGGTATTTGAGAAAATGAAATATAAAAACCAATTAAGCAAAAGATAGATCAGAGCAAGGAGGGTGAAATTCACCTCTCTACAGAAGGCCTGGGTAATGTCTATAAGTCTCACTTAAACCCTGGAAACAGGGCTTGAGTAGCACTTAAGCGGTGCAGGTCCTCTGCACAGGGGTGAATTGCATTCAGGGAGCGAAAGAAGGGAGGGTGAGAGAGAAGGGCAATGCACATGCTTCAAAGAAAACAGCTCTAAACTAAGCATCCTCAACAGCAGGTCTCAATAGATGATGATGTTGACAAAGAAGGAAAAAGGAAAACAAAAAACAACTGAGATTGAAGGAACCAGTCTAGTAAGAAATCTTTAATTTCTAGTCAGCTTTAAAGGATTTGAGAAGGTTGATTTTTTTTTAACAAACCAGTTCAAGTACATGCCTTCAGATTATAAAAGTACCTGAAATTGCCTAGAATATCAACATGCATAGCTTGTTAGTATTTACATATATTTACACAGGAAAACAAGAGAAAGATCTACAGTTATTTACAGTCTACATAGGAGAAGAGAAAGGCAGCATAATTGTATTTCCTAAAATACAGTAGTAGAATAGTCAGCACATGCATATTAAGATATATTTGCATGATAGAACGCAAATGTTTTAAGACATACCTTTTAAACTCTCTATGCTAAGGTATAGCATAATAAAGGTAATTTTTTGTTTTGTTTTGTTTCTATTCTATTTGCATCAAGTGCTTTAAAATGTTCACTAACACAGCGGCAGCATTATTTACCCTGGCAATTAAAGCAACAGTACACACAATAATTTCCTACTAACTAGCAACAAGCTGCTGGTGAATGAAATATCTATTGTTTCTCATTATCCATTGACCAACATACAGGGATCTCTCCTTGTAAAGGCAGTGCCTAAGCTATCACCGTTAATTATAGAAGTAATATAAATAAGACTCTACAGTATGTACTAAATGAAATATTAACAAGGCCAGTGTCTTTGAGCCTGAAAGATGCACTAACAGGACTCACTTTACAGCAGGCTATCTATGAAAATCACATGTACATAATACAGGAGTGCTTGGCATATAGCGCTAAGCCTAGACAGTAGAGGCCTGTTTACTAGATCTGTATTATTGCAAAATACATTCCCTTAATTAGTTTCTGGAAGACAGTTAGTAGTTAATTTCTAATCATGATATGTCCCCATCATAACACCCTGTGGTTTTTTTCAATGCATTTTAGTGCCAAGCTGTATATATGTATATCAACAGACAAAAATCAGTCCTTGTCGTTAAAACCTAAACAAACAGCTTTTTACATACTTGTCCAGGAAGGTCACTTGCTCAAAAAGCATATTGCTGTTTGTTTTTTTCTCTCTCACAGCTGAAATCATATTCAGGCTAAAATGATTCTGTACAAAATAAGAGAGGAAGCCAATTGTTGGTTTCTTCTGTACGTCGATGACATTCTTTGCAATACTGTGCATGAAAAAGGTCTTAATTCTCACTAGTAATAGTATTAAAAGGCTATATAAATATATACAGCATATACAGGATTGTATGTATACGTACATTTATATAAAGTGTATATATATATAATTAATGTTAGGTACAGCAAAAACTTAAAACAGTTCAAGTCAACATAAATTATTAATTGAAACCACGTGTCAACAAATTCTTCTTCATTTCCAATTAGCTTTGAGCAGTCACATATATCTGAGCATCAATGGACCCTATTCTGAATGTTTTAGTTACAGCAGTGTATCTGATTTTTCTTTGTGGTAAGTTACATGTGTTACTGACAAGAACTCTGACCTGTGTGTCAAATACATGTTTGCCCATTAATATCTGGCTGTATATTTCAGTGTGATTTCCAATATGTTCTTGGGATTCCCTTTTTGACCAATTGAATGTTTTGTGCGATGTATTCCTTACATGGGGAGATGGTACAGATTCCAAAAGCTCAGAAAACAGGGGAAGGGAGTTTTACCAACACAATCTACTCCTGATATTGCTGCCTTTGATGCCCAAGAGTGACAGCTCTTTGGCACTTTGCCCTGAGTGCCAATGGACACTTTTGGGAAATGGAACAAGGAGTAAGCTTTTTGGATATGAATGTACCAAGGTCAACCTAAGCTTGTCCCTGCCCCAAAATGGAATGAAACAAACAATGCTAGTTCTCCGACAGTAACTCTCAAATCCCAAGAATAGGGAACAATATGAAGTCGTACACTGCTGCTAAGAGCTATGATACAGCAATAAGAGACAGGGAGGAACAATCATCATGTCCATAGTCATCAGTGGGGTGGAATAATAATTTACAAAAAATCAAGTGAAAACAGTGCCTAGTATTTTGGAGACAAAAATTAAGCAGGCTTGATCACTGTGAAAGGCTGAGCCCTGTTAAAATGCCAAATCAGCAAGCCCTAAAGTACTGCTGCTGTTTAAATGCTGGTTGTACAATCTCACATTGTCTCCCTTCAAAAAGTAGTTAAAGGTCAAGGAAATGGTTTTCAGAAACAGATCACCCACTTTAGTAAGATATTTAGAAAGAGGAAGAGATACATTTTGGGAAATAGGTAACTTGGCCCCTTGTAATATATGCAAAGGTGATGGAACAGTGAACCCATCGAACATCCTCCTTTGTGCTGTTTCCTTTTCTGTCATCTACTTTTGGGATGCTCACCTGTACTTCATCTGACAAGTTTCTCAGGAGACACACAAATTTGTATGAGGGAGAGCATTGCTAAGCTCCCTTTTCCATTTGAGTTGGGCAAAAGACCCTTCCGGTGTGAGTGAGATCAGAATAGGGCCCAATGTTGCAAAGGATTTAGGATTTCATACTGCGGAACGGTGGGGTTTCTACAATAAAGAAAAATGTGTATGTTAAACATGTCTTTTATCAGATATTTTGCCAACCTGGTTCTACATCTTCTAAGCACTTTAATAATAGTTTATAATATAATACTTTACACTTAGTGCTTTTCATCCAAAGATTTCAAAGCACTTTACAGACACGAATTAGTCCTCACAACAGCCCTGTGAGGTGGGTAAGTAATATTACTCCCCCCATTTTACAGCTGGGGAAACTGAGGTGCACGCAGATTACGTGACTTGCCCAAGTTCACACAATGAGTTAGTGTCAAGGTCAGGAATACAGCCTGGGTTTCCTGACTTTCAGTCCAGTGCTGTATTTTGCTATGGAATAAGGGTAGGCAATCTTTGTTTGACCCAGGATGTTGGAAGTATGTAGTTTTTAAAAACAATTCATTGATATTATTAATATCATATTAACTTGCATAACACAAACACCAAAGTGCCATTATCAAAATACATTTATTGCAATGGAAACATTTTCTTTTGCAAAGTTAAAACCTAAAGTGTAGTTTAAATATAACTGTATATACTGAATACTATTGAAATAATCACTCGGCCTTAATGCCTCAGCAGTAGAAAACAAATCCTCTTTTGTGAACTGCTGCAGTTTTCCTACTCAGGGAATATAAAGTATTTATCTGCTATAATATATGTAAAGTGTGCAGAGGTCTTAGCGACTGTGTGTAAAGTTACCACTTGAAACCAACTAGGAAATATTTTGCAAGTACAGAAGCCTTTCTATTTTGAGTCTTTGTTGTAAAATATTTTGGAGAATTAATTGAAAAGGAATGGATCAGAATAAATAAGCAAATCTTATAGATTTTAGTTTAAGTATTGTATTGTCTTTTCAGAGACTACACTGGTTGATACAGAAGTTTTCTGAGGAAAAAGAGATTGCAGCAATTTCTCTGGTTTTGATGTGGTTCAATAAAACCTTTGAAAAGGTTGTAATTTCAGAGCCAGTTCAGGTCAGGTTTTCTTGCTGTCTGTTGGGTATAGGTAGCACCTTGAGTGAAGTGATTCTTATTTGTCATTCAATCAGACCTGGCAGTTCAGAAGTGGCATTTTTTGATTACAGATATGGTTTCAATTTACCATATTCACCCAAGTCTCTACTTCACATTTCTCTATTGAAGAAACAACCCGGGAGTCCTATTTTCTTATTTTACATTAATACATATATTCTCCGGCCAACAGTGTCATTTGGGGAGTGCTATGGGTTGGAGTACTGTAGACAGAGGTAAGCAGTTCTGATATAATGCCATGTATGAGATTAAAAACTGTACACTGCATTGTACAAGAGAAAACCATCTGAACACCATACCCACTACCCTTTGGCAGCAACAACATGCATTTGAAAGAGAAATGTATTACTTGTAATAGTATTCTTAAAAGTTTATTTTGATTGGTTTTGATTTTTACCCCAGGAGGCTAATTAATCTTGCCATCTAATAAGGAGGCCTGAGCAAATAAGGTCCTAGGCTAAGTTCCCTCATTTCCCACTGGCTTCCACAGCAGCTGATGCCACTCAGAAACTCTCAAGATTGGCCTTTAAAGGTGCTTCAGGACATTGGGAAATCCTGTAGGCCGAATGAATTGCTGATGAGGAGTAATGATTTATAATTGCTAATGTTTATAGAGACGTCTGTTGCTGTGTCCATTGGTTGTTTTAGGCTATGCCCACATGGACTTGTGAATCATACAAAATGAATACCAATTCATACTTACTATTTTGAACATTTTTAATGTGGTAACTAGAGAAGGGAATAGGTGTATATTGAGAGGAACGTGAGCTAAAATCCAAGTTCTGGACATCCTTCACTTTGGGGTTACTAGAAATTCAAACCTAGATTCAAATTTTGTGACTTGAGCCACAAAGCCTCTTCTTTGAAGTTGCAATTGCAAACATTACATTCCCAACCATCTGCAGCATGCTTTTGTGCAGGCAGGCAGTCTGGGTTGGCATGTATGTTTCCAGGAATACATCATGTAGTTGGACCTAGTTTGCATGTGCAGAACCAGGGTTGTAAAGAAATGATTGGCCACATTCTCAGCTACTGGTTTACCTGAGCTGAAGAGATGGCTATATGTGTATAAAATTGTAACAGCAGTTTTAGAGTCCGCTTTAGAAAATGTGAAATTGATCATTCGGGAGGTGATCTCCCTACACGTTGTTTTCCAACTAGGACTTATACAATAGACCTTTCCTATGGAATCAGTAATTACCCAGTGCAGAGATACCAACAGATAAACTACAAAACATGTTTCCACCATCTACCAGAGTGACTTTAAGCTCCATTGTAAGTGTATTATTCAGAGGCATGGAGAGGGCATGAAAAGTACCATTTATTCCATGATGTGGAATATGTGCTTATTACTTCATCTCTTCACTGCTGTATAATAAATTATTCCAGTCTAGGTGGCATGTTCACAATGCAGCTGTATTAATCTGCTGTTTTTTGCATCTCGAAAGTGTTTGCTTTGCCTAATAGACCTGAGATGAATAACAAGGAAAGCTTGAACAGTTTTAAGGAAGCACTTGCCTTTTCATTTTATCAGAGCTGCTTGCTTTGAATTTGGATCTTGTCACAAGTATTTGCCTCTCTTATAATTTTCAATTCACATGTTTCCAGTGACCACCTTTCAATGTCACACTTGCCCTTAGGATATTTGCATACAAACCCTTACTCTTAATTGTTCATTAAAAAAAAAATCAAATATTTTTCAAATAAGTTGATTCCATCTCCCTTGCTTTGCAATGTTCAGTGCTATTGGTATGCCATTAATACTATTTAGAATGGTGCCTATTCATTTGTGGTTGATGAATATATGGGTACGTTATGACTTTTGTTTCTTTTATTTATATGCTTCATTTTTAAACCTGCTTCAGAACAGGACTCTAATTTTAGGAAATAAACATGAAAATAGACAAATCTGAAAACTAAACATTAACTGTATACTATGTTTTCTTATCAGGAACATAAATAGTAAGTTAGACTACTAATGGGTGAATTACATATATTAATGAGTTTTTTAACCATATTCTGTCTATCAAGAACTCCTTTTATTTTACCATTAAGATACTCTATTTGCATTTGTATTCAGTGCCATCAGCTACAAATTGATAGCTAGCAGTTAGCAAATAAATGCCTACGAACTCGTAGCTACTTAACATTTTTATCCCAACAAAGGATTTTGGAAGGATGGATAATTTAGATCTTTGAGGCTCAAGTATAAATAAACAGAAACTGCTTTATAAATCCCACCCTGCTGTAGTTTAAGATTGTACTGCAAATCTGACAAATGATTTGTGAAAGAGAATGATGAACCCTTATTACCAAGACACTCTTTAACTTAAGCCAAAACAAGATTCCTGGGTAATTTTATATACACTATAAAGATTGATGGCATGGGACTAGCCTGGCAGCTTTCAAATGTTTGACTGGATCGGAAATGGCATTCAGGCATGATTAAAGATTCAACTGGGCTTCTCAGAAATTCTTTCTCCTGTGTATTCATCATTCTAACTCACTGCCTTTGTTACAGGTTAAAGATGGTTGACCCCCCAGCTTTGGTGATTAGCACCACATACAACTGACAGTCTTCTGATTAAAAAAAAAAAGTGTTTAGGTTGCCCAGACCTTCTATCATTGTTTATAAGTTTTCTTTTTAAATCACAATAGATCATGGACGTCTGTGACAATTGACAAGCTCATTGTTTAAGACTTTTTTAATGGAGTTGTTAACATTAATTCTTTTATATGGTACTTTAATCTGTTTCAAATTATGTACTGACATGGCACAAACCGCTTTGGCATTGAAAGTCATTCAACGGTGATTAAAGTGCTCTTTTTAGCAGTTTAAGAATGTTTCATCTTGTATCAGCAGTATGGAATTGTTTTCTAATTAGATTCCCTGACATCCTGTTTTGTCTTATGCTGATGATATGTGAACCGGAAAGCTGATGAGCAAAAAATTAAAACTTGTTATTAAACTGTCATATAATGGCTTACCATATAAAGGTGTCACTCAAATGACTGTGTTGATGAAGGATAAACAATGTTTGCTGAGGAAAAAGTGTCCTCTCAATCCGTTTAAATATGTGTGGCTGTGTTGGCATTTTGAGGGCTCTGCTTTATAAACCCTTCCTAAAGCACTTTGGGTTCCCGTTGGATTTAAAGGGATACTTTGTCCCCTCAAGGCCTTCTCACTCAGTAGGGCAGCATGGTCTAGTGGCCTGAGCACAAGACAAAGAGCCAGGAACTCATTAGTTCAAATCACTTTTTTGACACTGGCTCCGTCTGTAGCTTTGGGCTAGGCCTCTGTGCGTATGTCCACACTGCAATTAAACACCCATGTCATCTGACTCGGGCTATGGGGCTGTTTAATTGCGGTATAGATGTTTGGGCCCCTGCCTCCCCATGGATCCCAGAGCCCAGGCTCCAGCCCAAGCCTGAACATCTACACCACAATTGAACAGCCCCATAGCCCAAGCCAGCTGACATGAGCCAGCCATAGGTGTTTAATTGCAATGTAGATCTGGAGCGTGTCTCTGTTTCCCCACCTGTTGAAATGTGGACAGTAATACTGGTGTGCCTGTAGGGACGTTCTGAGCTTTAATTACTTAGTGTTAGTGCATTGCTCTGAAGATGTCAATGCTAAATATTATTAGTTTCACCCACCACGTTGTTTGCTTCTGTGGGATAAATATAATTTAACTTCCCTTCTTAAGGACAAAAAAAAGTATTGTTCTCTGGACGATAAAGCTGCTGTGCTCATTTCTCCAGAACAGCCCACATAATGAGCACAACATTTAGAAGTTGGTGAAGTAGCACTTGACCCAAAAGCAAATGGCACATTGTTCATAGTAGGAAACAATGGAAGCTTGAAATGGTAAAATATTGGAGTCTTCCAGCTGCATGTCCTTTATCTTCACTTTAAATAAAGATGCCCGTGCACCAGCACTCACGTTGTGTTCACTTGGAGCTTAGCTTGTGTCAGGTTTACAGGATCAGACCCTGAATTGGTATCTACCAGTTACATTATGGGATATTTGGCCCCTATTAACTACTGAAGATTTTGTTAAAAAGTGAGTTAAAAACCATAAACTATAGTAAACTTCCAGTTTATGAATGAGCTCATTTCTGACTGAATCTAGCCTGAGCTAGCTAGAAAGCAGCTTTTCAGCCACAGTATAGTGATTAGTCTTTGGCATTGAGCACATAAGTTTTATTTGACTCTTATGAAAAAATCCTATGGGATTGAATACAAAAACGATCACTTTCTATGGGTGTTTTGAACCACTCTATGCAATTGGATAGAATGATCATACCTAGGCTGTGCAACTCTACAGAGAGCCTATAATTATCTATAAATTATATTACTTTTATTGTAATTGCTGTAGAACCATATTACATTGTGGTAGGTATTTTTGCTACTGGATTCTACCAAACACATTCATAAAGGCATTGTTTCCTCAAATAAATGATTTGGTTTAATAAAACCATTTTAATATTTAGCAATTTAACCTGAAAAGGTTTTTTGCCATGCTACATAATTTGAGAACAAAGGAGAAACCCAACTTGAGGAGAATTCAAGCCTTTTAGACTCAAAGCTGCCATTGAAAGATGAGAACATTAAATATGTGGTTTGGTTGCCACTCCACCACTGGCTGATTTGTTAGTAGCATTGTGAGATGCCACAGTTATAACCATTGGAACCGAGAGAAGAAAATAATTGGGAGGAAAAGAGAGGGAAGCCCATTCTTGCCCCCTATCAAATCTCATTTCAGTAACATCTATTTTCTCTTTAGTTACCTTTTCTATCATACTCAATAGCCTCTGTATTCTGATTCTTAATTAGTTGCCACATAAATGACTATGATGTACATAAATAATCACAAGATTCTGGACAAACTATATTGTTTTTAAATTAGAGCTGCGCACATGGTGTTTCGCGATGAGCTCCATCCTATTATTTCTAATTATAGCTGGCAAAGCAAAGTGGTTTCTTGCCCTCTTTACAGCTTTTCTGACAGAGCTTTGCCAATCCTGATGATGCAATATCCCACCACATGCACATACACACTCACTAAAAAGTTATGGCCTCAACTGTTAATCCCTCAGCTTTCCATCAGAAAAATTCAAAGCGATCAATTTTCCTCATTGGAGCTTAGATTTTTGAATAATAAAAAAAAGCTGCCTCCACAGCTCTAATCTATTTGTTATATTTCTTAGTGATTTATAAGATGCTAGAAGTAGGTCTTAGAAGGATGGCAAAACCACTGGAAAGCACTGAATCTCTGCAAATTAAGAACTACACTCTCTGAGCGCAGTAGATAAACATTCTCACACAGCAGTGGTGACAGCTGCCACAGTAAAATTGTTGACCAAAGATATATGGACAGTTTGGGCACAGATCCCATTAGCACTTTACATGATAGGCCTTAATTGGAATGTCCGGGTTAATATTGTACAAGAGATTTTAAAGATATAAAATACGTCAGTCTGCATTGCTTATCAAAACTAGGAAGTGGGGGATATTAAGTAGTTTGGTAAGTTGGTTTTTTTTTGTTCTAAAGGAAAATCAGGAAGGTTTTACATGACGTGTGTGTTGCTTTTAAATCTTTGTGTTTGTTTCACATAATCCCAGCTGGCCAGATCCTGAAGTTCTTACTCAGGCAAGATTCTCACTGAAGTTGCAGAGTGTTTTGTCTGAGTAAAGATGGAATAGATCTTGTATTTTGAGTTTGCTTTAAGAGGTGCAAAAAAAAAAAGAAACAAGGTCACCAAGGTGTATTCAAATTGGGTTCCAGATAGTAATGTAGTGTCTTTAACACTTCCATCCAATACCCTTAACACTGTCATGCTGTGAGTTACCTGTGAGTTGCAATGCTTTTTATTGGTATTTTAATAAGACACATGGCTTCATAGGACCACAGTCTAAATTAGAACTATAATATGTATTTTTTTTTAATTCTAGCAACAAGGAGCTGCCACAACTGTCTACTGTGCCACCGCTCCAGAGCTGGAGGGCCTGGGAGGAATGTACTTCAACAACTGCTGTCGCTGTTTGCCATCACAAGAGGCCCAGAATGAAGTGACGGCTGCAGCCTTGTGGGAGCTAAGCGAGAGACTGATCCAAGAACGAATTGGCAGGCAGTCCAAATAACAGGGAGCTTTTGTAAGGATCAAAACACACAGAGTATGTGCACGCTAGAAAACTGCCAGCTCTGGAGCCTTTCCAATCTTATCATCTCGAGGGTTTCCATATACCTCCGATACAGATTAGCTAGTGTTAAATGAAATAATATCAGTCACAACATAGTGAAAAATGCTAAGTACTAATGGGAAGTTGGGAATACTGTGGGTTAAAGGGACAATATCGCTTTCTGGGGTTTAGTTAGTCTTGGTTCTCTTTCTTTTGGTTATAGCCCGTTCAAAGTGTAATTCAAGGAGGCATCTTTTGAGTTATTTTAGAAGAGCAATGCAAAGTATATTTTTTGATGCTTTGATTAATGGCTACATGGGTAGCCCAAAAATAACATGGGATTTCCTCTATATTGTGGTAATTATTTGCTGTTAGGTCAGGAGATGATAGCGCTGTTTATTCTTTTCCCTACTAAGTTTTTATTGGGTGTGGCAAATAAAAAACAAAATGAATAGTAATAAAGAAAGCAAGCTTCCCTGCCTTTGGCCGCTGGCTGCAAATATAACTGTGCTGTCTAGAAAAGGAAGGTGCAAGAAGACATTTGAACAGAAATGGTAAAGTCAGATTTACTCCACTGCTAATTATTAAATATGCAGGTTTTCCTTAAAAGATTATGATAAAAGGTACGTTCCAAACCATTCCCTAAATATTGTTGCTTTAGGAAAAGATGATGTTGTCTCCTTCAGAACACACAGGGTGTAATCAGGGGTTTAAAAGTTGTTCCTTCCATTTCTTGGTTCACAGTTTTAAAGAGTTTGTTTTGTTGTCTTTGAAGGTTCACAGTTCTCCAAATACTGCATCCTGTTCAAAATTTCTTTTTTTCTTTCAATTTAAATTTAGTAAAAGAACATGCTTGAATATTGTCACCTGAAGAGAAAGTTTGTCTTGTTTCTGCAAATGTTTTAGTTCCATTTTTTTTAGAAAAGAAAACTTGAGGAAAAATAAAGAGCTTCTTGTCGATGCCATGAAAACGCTGTTTTTTTTCTTGTTTCTTTCTGAGTTCATATTTTGTTTTTTGTGCTTTGTAGCTGTCTTCATGCCAAAAAGTTGTCTTAAGCCATCAGCATTCCAGCATCATTTTTCTATAAACAAAACAGAAATAAAGATTGTAAATAGAACCTTAGTTCACTCCATTATTATTCATGTTATTGATAATTGTTCTGTCTTCTATGAGTTTCCTCCTCTGTATTCATGAAGTGCTTAGGTTTGATTAGCTGGTGGATGTGTGTTAAAACCTAACAGCACACTGGTCAGAAATAAATAGCCTAGTATCCTCCCCTCATAATAAATGCCCATTTTAATAATAATAATAATAATACACTTTGTTTTGAGTGCTTTTATTTTCAGCTTGTGTTATCCAGTCCAGGATATAGAAGACTAAAACATTGCAGCACTGCACAAGGGCTAGAGAGGGCATTAGAGGTGCCCCCCCTTTTGTGCCCACATACAGGCACTGATTACATTCCCTGAGAACAAGCCTAGCACCAGCTGTAGACATGGGGAGCTGAAAATGGGGGTATTGCCCGCCTTCTACACCAACCAGCAGAGCTGGCCCTATATGGGGAAGCAGATGGCACACCTTTTCAAAGGGTGTGGCAGCAACCATACTTTCCCAGTGGTATTTGGCCAGCTCAGCTTCATCCCCAGACCAGTTCTCCAGCCCCCATATCATTGCCTTCCTTCATTTCCCAGACTGGTCCCAGAAGAACTGATGGTTCTTGACTGTTTCTCTACCTATGTCATGACCATCTCAAAAGGGCCATGCAGAGTATAGGAACTCCATATTGAGGTCATGCAGTATTTATAAACCCTGCATAATCCACAAAATACATGGAAATGGCTTTCAGTAAATAAATACTTCTACCCCTTCCCCACAAACTATTTGAAGGCATCAATCCCACCATAAGTTGGGTGTTTCTAGGAGTTTTGTGAGCCAGAACAAACATGAGGAACATACTCTAAACGTGTGATCACCTCCTGTTTTTAATGCTTCATATTTCCCAAATGCCTTGTCCGGTTTGCATCAAATTTTTCACATAAATTAAACCCTAGCATTAAATCATGCCTGAAAATTTTCAGGGAGATGGGTTTAGTTTTGGAAAAATTGAGTTCGGGAGAGGGTCAAAACCATTATTAAAATGGACGGCTACTTATCAGGGGAATAGAAACTATGTAGCTTCCGTCATATACTATCCTAACAATTGCATTGGCTTTCTAGTTCCTGGCAAAAAAGAGCAATCCAATAGAATACTAACAGAACTAAGACAACAGAGAAACACTGTGTCATAGGATGACATTTCTGGGTAAGTTATGAGGTGTAATTAAACATTACTGAGTGCACTGATATTCTTCCTAAGGCCTTGGGCCTTACACTCCCACTTAGGCAGACATTAATAACTAATAATGCACACCCTGTCGTTCTTCACTGCTGAAATATTGTATGCTTTTATGAGAATTTGGTACTCAGAAAGATTGCCTTCCTTCAAAGGATATCTGTTTTACCTCTATGTAGTGGTCCACATTGGAGAGAAAAGCCTGTTTTAATCTCACAGACAGCTATATCTGTCATCAGTATGAAGGCACTACCATGCATTTACTCTGCTGAACAAGTTCATCTGACTCCTATGCCTATGGTTAACAAATGCTTAGTGACACTAATATGTTACTGTGTCCAGAATTTGGATGTCAACGTTTTTTCCTCTCTGTTTTCTGAGCAAAGCAAGCCCATGTAAAAATAAACTTCCTTTTTGTTTTTCCTCAAGCAAAGGGCATTCTGTTGGCCCCCAGTGGCAGAACATCAGTGCAGGGCACTGGATTTGATGACCTCTCAAGGTCCCTTCCAACCCTACACACACGCACACTTATAAACAGGCTGGCTAGCAGCACATAAAGAAGATGCAAGGGAGATGCAAAAGGAGCAAAAAACATGATCTCCATGTTGATGAATGATTCATGGCATAGATAATTCTAAGCCATTGGCTTTGAAAATTGTACTGTACGCTGGTATAAATTTTGGTGCAGTTGCATTCAGCTTTATTTATTGACCAGGTTATATTTTTTTCCAGATGATTTACTGAAATTGATGTATACTTAACTAATTGTAATGAACACTGGAATCAATCTGTTAGGGAGTAATATTTGCAGACAAGTGCTCTTAGGTCGAATACAAAAGCAAACTCTATAGACCTTAACTCGTATTATGCCAGCAAAACAAAAAAAGGACTGAATAAAGAAAAATAGATGGTGTTACTTATATTTTTGGAAACCAGCCAGCATGCTTTTTGCAAACACCTGGTAGTGTTAATAGGCACTTTCCATTTACCTCCATAAAAACACATATAAAAGGGGATAAAGAATGTTTCTGAGATGTATTGATAAATATGTACCAATTTATTTGCTATGATTTTCTGATGGAGGGGCAAAAAGAGACTATAAACCGGAACACTTTCTACTGCCATAGTGAAGAACTGTTCACATGTGGTTCTATCTTTGTCGTATTCTTTCATTCTGAGGTCAACATGTCCCTTTTCAATCACATGATATGTTGGGAACGAATCAATAAAGGGAAATCAGGCCTCACCACTCTATTAAGAGTTCAACAAGTATGTGGACAAGGGTGATCCAGTGGATGTAGTGTGCTTGGACGTTCAGAAAGCCTTTGCCAAGGTGCCATAGCAAAGGCTCTTTAAGCAGTTCTGGGATAAGAGGGAAGGTCTTCTCATGGCTGATTAGGAAACAAAGGGTAGAAATAAATAGTCAGTTTTCACAGTGGAGAGAGGTAAATAGCAGGGTTCTCCCAAGGATCTGTACTGGGACCACTGCTATTCTGCATATTCATAAATGATCTAGAAAAGGTGGTAAAGGTGCAGACAATATAAAATTACTCAAGATAGTTAAATCCAAAACTGACTGTGATGAGTTACAAAGGGCTCTCACAAAATTGAGTCTCTAATCTGGAGTTTTGTTGCCCAAAGTCAGTGCTGATAAGTGTAAAGTAATGCACATTGGAAAACATAATCCCAACTATACAAACAAAATGATGGGGACTAAATTAGCTGTTGCAATTCAAGAAACAGATGTTCATGTCATCTTGGATAGTTCTCTGCATTTTTGCCTGCCGCTGCACACTGAGCAGATGTTTTCAAACACACTACTAGGAACTATTAGGAAAGGGATTGATAAGAAGACAATAAATATCAAAATGCCACTATATAAATCCATGGTGTGCCCACACCTGGTATACTATGTCACCCCATCTCAAAAATATATTAGATCTGGGAAAAGTTATAGAGAAGGGCAACAAAAATGATGAGGGGTATGGAACAGCTTCCTTATGAGGAGAGATTAAAAAGCTGGTGACTGTTCATTTTAGAAAAGAGATGACTAAGTTGGAGATATGATAGAAGTCTATAAAATAATGACTGGTGTGGAGAAAGTGAATAAGGAAGTGTTAATTAGCCATTTAAATAACACACGAACTAGGGGGTCATGCTATGAAATTAATAGGCAGCAGGTGTAAGACAAAAAAAGAGGAAGTACTTCTTCCCACAACGCACAGTCAACTGGTGGAACTCATTGCCTGGGGATGTCATGAGGCCAAGTCTATAATTGGATTAAAAAAAGAATTAGCTAAGTTCATGAAGGATATATCTATCAATGGCTATTAGCCAGGATGGTCAGGGATGCAACCCCATGCTCTGCATGTCCCTAAAGCTCTGAATGCCAGAAGTGGGGACTGGATGACAGGATGGCCCATTTGATGCTTGCCCTGTTTTGTTCATGCCCTGTGAAGCATTTGGCATGAGCCACTATTGGAAGTAGGATACTGGGCTAGATGGACCATTGGTCTGACTCAGTATGGCAGTTCTTAGGTTCTTACTCATCCCTGATCAAAGTAATTGGCAAAATGGCTAAGCATGCAAAATATGTTCTTATGTGAACATAACTCACCCACTGATAGATGATTGCAGTTGCTGTGATCATCTTCAGGCAGGTGAATAAGCAACCTCCTCTGACACCAAAGAACTGACCGGCCAGAAGCATGCATCGGAGATCAGGTGAAATCCTGGCCACATTGAAGTGAATCACTACAGTCATTGCCATCAGTGGAGCCAGAATTTCATCCATGTCCAGTGGAATGAAAGAATTACTACTGTGGTACACCTGAAACCTACCTGCAACTAAAGCATGTAAGTACCAGGAACCAACACAGAAGTGGTTCTCCAGTGGCCACAATGTCTTGGTTTGCTTAGCTTTTTTTTATGGGACAGAAGACACATTTAATCTCTACTGAGGCCAGGTAAGCGATTGTATTAGAGAACGTCCTTCCAGCAACACTGCAATAATTTGACACGTCAAGGTTGAATAACTCTTTGTTAGGGGGTTAAGCTCATGACCTTTCAAGCCAAGCACACTTATACTAACTAGTTTACCATTGGAATGATCAATATCCTGTAAGTGAGAAAGTCTAGACTGATCTTCTTTTGTCCCTTTGCTTTAGTATTGATAATTATATCTGGCTGGGGAAAAATTGCCTGTACATTACACACTCTGTATTTGTCTTGACAACATTTTATAGGGTTACATTGTCATAATTTCAATGGCAGCCTACCAGCATTTCATAGTGTGCATATATCCTGAATTTACACTACAATCATTATTTCTCCATATGTATGTTTGTTATTTATCATCCATTTTTTGGTTTAAAAATCTTTGCCAAGTTTCATGGCACAACTCTCTGCAGTTTCTAATCACACACTGTAAAAAAACCTGACACTTTTCATTCCAGGTCTGTTGTCTGGTTTAAGTATGTATTTTACTTCAATTTAAGTATGTTTCTGGCTTGATATGTATTTTTTTTTCAGTCAGGGTTCCCAAACTACAGTGAAAGCTGAGGACATGATGCCTTATTGGAACACATCTTTTGGAGTCAAGGAGCTCTGAGATGTAAAACAGACTAGGAATGCTACCGTTGTACTTGTTAATAAATACTAGTAGCTACGTTTTTGTAGTGGTTTCCATCCCAAAGTGTTTTATGAGTAGGATTGACTTTAGCCGTTTCTGAAGTTCAGCCACCTCTGGG